TTTAACAAAAAAAAAGATAACAATCAACGAATTTCATGTAAATTTGGTTAGAACTACGCAAATTTCAGTGCAAAGCTAGTTACAACTAGTAAATATGTATACACTAAGCGTCTAAAGTACCCAGCTGATAAGCGCATCAAATACACAAAGCACTTATTATAGGAAGCACCAAAATTTATTATCAAAGATTCCTCCTTTTTGGAGCTATTACATCATTTCTTGTGTGCAATCCGATTACATAGTGCAAATTGGAAGATGAATTTCGATCATTTACTCCAAAAATAATAAGTCCAGAAACTTTTTAGCTGGTTCCAAAATTCGTTCCTGACTTGAGCTAAGGCTGTAGTAAAATTCGGTTCAGAAGATCGCTTCAAACTGCCTAGTGAATTACTCTTAAAAAATTCAGCTTCTACATTTACGGAATCATGTGCGAAAAAATTAACCTGAAACTGCGCATAGAATTTGCGAACTAACTTCAAGCTTATTGCCTAACATTATTCGGTGAATCTCGGAACTCCCATGTTGCATTTTTCTAGGTCACGAATGGGATTTAAGGATTGGATTAAGGTACCTGAGAAAGTTTTGGGAACGCAGTCTAGCACAGAATCAAGGACAGTTAATCCTTTAGCAATGTGTCATGCCACAATATGTGAAGATTTCCAAACCTCGAGTTCTTTTTTTATGCTGTTGATATATTCAGTATCATCCGTGCTTCGCTGCTTTTCGTCAGCAGTTCTTCCAACCGTCGAAGGAGATGATTCTTTTCCATCTCCAATTGGTCGCAGCCTCGGACAGCCTTTCGCTTCCCTTTCAGAAGGAACTTCTAAAGCAGCAAAATAAAGACGATATTATTAAAATGGAAAGATCGGCAGGTTACATGGTTTCTTAGCAGTTCTTCAATTTCGAATAAAAAGTTGTCGAGGCCCGCCTGAATACGGTCAAACTGAGGTTAGGCCGCAACAAATAATAAACAACTGTAATAATAAACAACTGTGTTAACAGCAAAAGGAAACTAAGCCAGCGACTGGAGGGAAGTACCTGACGACGAATGTATCGGTTAATTTAAAAACCTTATCTATAAGCTTTTAAATGTATAAAAAAGATAAACGATGATAAGAAAAATCTGGGAATGTCTTCAATCAATCATCCAGAAATCCACACACAAGAATGAACCGGTCCGGTCTGTCACTCAAAAAATAAGGGCGCGGGGAAAGATGAGAACAAGCACAGTCTTTTGATTATTTGTATTCCATCACTACTGAATTATCAGCATGCAAACAGCACTTTCCATGCAGTTCAAGGTGAAAGAGTCTGTCACATCTGTGCCAGGTGCGTGGGGGCATCTCAGTAACATTGTCCACAAGGGGGTCCTGACATAACGCACTTCCCTGCCGCTTCAGTTCACAAGTTGCTATTTCACTGTTATGTCGTTTTTTTTTTTTATGAATCAGTTAATAAAGTGAACTAGGGGATACCACTTGCTGGAGCATGTTCCTCAATTTTCACTAAGTCGACCATATATGCGGGATCTGTTTTTGCGAACTCATATTTTATCAGAGGTGGAAGAACACTTGGGCGAGTGCCGCTCGCATGTGCTGATGTTGCTGCCTGAAATACGTTACTTTTCTAAGCTAATTATAGCAAACGTATTGCATATTTTTTCAAGCTCATATTAACAGAAGTGTAAAACAGTCATATGCCCAGTGGCAAGTAGTGCCTGCTGTCAAACAAAAAGTCACTGACAACCAATTCCTCCACGGTTTATTCATTTGTTCTGATG